TGTGTTGTCCATTTCCCTGGGACAAGGGCTCTGGTTACAGAGTTATTGATTGGTTTTCATGCAGACAGATGGGCCCTTCCTGGACTCCCATCGAAATCCCTGGCTGTATGGGCTGATTGTTGCCTCTTGGGGTGTAGGATTGCACTGGAGACCACCCTCCATGCAGCCTCCTTTGCTCAGGCCATGGATGGTAATAAATGGAGGCAGCCTGAGCTATAATAAAAGCAATTGAGTAGGTTACCTGTGCAGACACAAGATTTATGCCTCTTCATATTTGATGTGATTGTTTTATTGAGTTCTCAGAACAGTTGGGACACATTTTATTTATTTATTTAGGGGTTTCCCTCTCTTTTCTTCTTTGTATCACCTTCTGAAATCCACCTAGACCTTTCATTAGGGGCAACCAGTCTTGTCTTCCCTTCTGAAGAGTTGCCAGCTGAGGTAAGAACTCAGGGCAACCAGCCATTGCTTTCACCTGAAAGCCTTTTAGTGGCCTGAAAGCCTGCCCTGGGCCAGCCACCAGGGAGTGACAGACCTATACAACAATGGCCAAGAAGCCCAGCCTAAAGCAGCTAAGAACACAAAAATGGGCTTTTCATAAGGACAACTCCATCTCATTTTGAGGAATAAGAAGACCAACCAAAACCAACCTGTTGCTGTCAACTCAATTCCAGCTCTTGGCAACCCCGTGTGTGTCTGAATAGAACTGTGCTCCATAGGGTTTTCAATGACTGATTTTTTGGAAGTAGATCACTGGGCCCTTCTTTCAAGGAACTTCTGGGTGGACTTGAACAGCCAGCCTTTCAGTTAGCAGCCAAGCACTTAACGGTTTGCACCATTCAGAGACTCCAAGAAGATCGACAGCCCTGCCTATTTCACATTTTATTCTAATGATGAGCAACCTTAGCAGGAGGTGACCCTCCCCGGGAGAGGACAGCTGAATAAGTCTTCTCAGACGGAAACTGGAATGTCTGTCTGCTATACGTGTCCCAGTCTGCTAGGCCCTGGGCCACCAAAGGCAAGTACTCTGTCCTTATGTCTCTCATTTCTCTGTGGGGAGAAGTCTTCTTCTTCACCCACAGACTTGTCCTGGCTGTCTGCCATGAGGCCAACAGCCCTGGCCACCGAACAGCTGCAAGAGTATGGAAATGTGGCAGGAAATGCTGCCCCTCTGGCCCAGCTTCATGCCAAGTCAGGTCCAAGAGTCAAATGGATGATACTTCTGGAAGCTGAGCTTCAGACAGGGAGACAGACCCCAGCCCTGATCATATCTTCAATATTCCTTGGGTAGGATGAGCGGTTCCCAGCTTATTTGGAAATGTCTTTGAATGAACAGCCGGTAGACCACTGTCACCCCACTGCCAAGCTTCTGAAGAAGACTTGGGAATGACACAGGAGGGATACCTGAGTGATACAGGAAGGAATTCTCTAACACGGCACTGGGGCTGCAGCATGAACGTGCTCATCAAGAGCCAAACAGGCTAAGGGAAAGTGTGGGGTGGCAGGTGATCGGTGTGAAGTTGACTCTGGAAGAGTCCACTCGAAAGATCTAGGAGCAGGGAGTGTACGACAGGCTGAAGAAGCTAGGGAGTGATGGCCTTATTGTCAGCTCATTCCGAGAGAGAACCCTCAGGGGATCTTCGATAACCCTAGACTCTAGCAATGTGTACTTAAAAAGGGGCTGTATTCCCTGCCCAGAGCAATAGCCAAACCAGAAGACTTTGGTATATAATCAGAAAAATCCTTCCTGCCTAGTCAACTGCTCAGCAATGTAACTAGGTGACATTTTCCCCTTTCAGTAGCATGAATCTCCCTCCATCTCTCCCCTCTCCAGGCCATTTCCCATCCCAGATTTCAACCTGAAGTCACCTGTTTATAAATACCCTCCCCCCACAGCAGTGGTGTACAAGCTGAAGAGCTGGTAACTCCATGCTCAGTGATCAGTAACCCAATATTTAAAATGATTTAGATAAATTCCATGCACTAAGCAACCTAGTCAACCCTACGGATTTTTGACAACAGTCCCTGTGGTGGGGGCAGAAGGGGCTCCCTGACCCAATCCATTGGCTCAAACGGACATTTCTATGAGGATTTGCTCAGGGAGAATGTGGCATGGATGGCCAAGGCTTTATCGCGACAGGATCGGAGAATGCCAAAACCATTTTTAAAGCATGAAAAGCTATTTAGTTCATAACCATAACAGCATATTTCAAGTGCGGCGACAGCATCTGTTTTGGGGAGGGGAAAATGAAACACCTTACAATTCCGCTCAGGTGGGTGAGCATGTGTGGGCTTCCTTTCTTGCCAACCACCGACACATGCACACCCTTACTCATCACGGTTATAAAGTACCCAGCACAGTGGGCACCTCACCAACAATAAACCTCAAAATGCAAGAACCACCCATTCACAACACTCTGCACTTCCTGCACAGAAGAAATCTCCAGCTTCTTCCTGCAGTGAGAAGGATTCTCAAAACTGCAAAAGGGCAAAGTTCGGACATTACCAGCACCCGCAGAAACATCTGTCTTTATCAGGCTTTACAGTAAAACAACACATCTCAGAAAAACCTATCCCCATCAAGCAAAGCACTGACGGGGATGAAGCTAAGGGTGTGGTGCCCAGATGCATCCCGCCAGCCCCAACTTCAGCAGCACTGGAAGCCCGCAGAATTCTTTCCGAAATATGAAACATGGGAGGATTCCGTCCCGAAGCAATACCAAGAATAGCTTGGCTGCTCCTTGTGGACAGGGCCAGCCAGCCAGCCTCATGTAAGTCGGCCAACGGCCCATGCCGTCAGTGGCACACCCCATCCCTCTCCTCTACTCTCTCTCCATCTCCAGCCACACCTGCCCACAGATGGCCATGTCTCCGTACCCAAAGGAGGCCTCTGAGCCCCTCAGGTGACAGGGATGTCTGCTGAGCAGACTCTGCAGCTGTCAGAGTTGTCAAGCAGAGGTCATTCTTTCTCCACTCACATCTCCCTTACGGCTCACTTCTCCACTTCCCAGTTCTGGTGGGTGCACCTCAAGGCCTCTAGAGCATAATCCTAGAGTAACCTGTACCTTGCTCTCCATGGCTTTTCAGAATGAGGGCATTTCCAAACTTGTGCCAAACCTTGCTTCCAAAACATCTCAACCAGTGAGGGTGGTATGTTGGATGGCAAGGGGTGCTAGACATGGCTGCCACCACCACTGCCCCTCCACACCATAAGAAGCAAATTGCCTTAACCATCTATGCCTTGGGTTCCTCTAAAGTTTCGTCAGTCCTATCACTTACAGTGAGCATTTCTTGCAAACGTTCTTCAGAACACCGCCACCCAGTCCCAACAACAGTTTTCAGCAGGACCGCTCTTGGCCCCGGCTACTCTCTTCCCAAGACCTCAGTTCCAGCTCACTCCTAGGACCAGCAGCAGAAAACATTGCTTTGTCCCCTTCCCTAAATGCCACTCCTGCCTCAGCCCCAGAGCTTCCTCAGCCTCCTCCCCTGGCTTTTAAATGCAAAGGGCTCATTCCCCTCCCAAACCAGCCAGCATCTTTCTCCAGCTCCTTCTGAAGGTCTGAATGTCAAACCGCTATGCTTTCAATACCTGGCTGAAGTAGGCCCAGGGAGCTGGAGGGTTTTCGGAGGGTGTGTAATTAGCTGATCAGTATTATGTTACCCTGTTCATAACTGAATAACCATTTTAATACAGATGGCACACACTGGGATAATTTCTGGGGTCTCCTCGCAGCACGTTACAGCACGAGTGTGGCAGAGGGAATCTTCTTTAGCCAAGGTACATTCTACCAGCTAATTTTACCTGCTGTTTTCAGGATGATTTGGGATAATTCCATATCATTTGCAAAATATTAAAAAAAAAACCTTGATACGTGATGCCAGTTTCAGAAAAAAGCACCATCTGAATTATTAGTTGCCCTGATAATGAGCCTATGAAGAGTACAAAGAATAACAAGGGTATGAAACCCTTAGCCCTAGTCTTTCTCATTTGGGGTTTGCCGTAGAATGGGGGGCAGGGGTTGAAAGGCTGACCAAGGCTGTCTGGGATTTGCTTCTGGCTGGTGTGTGACTTGTGAGCGGTCTCTTGGATGTCAGGTTGGACAGCTCTGCGATCGTGAAGCCAGCCTGGGATCCTGGGCCCAACTGTTGTTTGTATGTCCTGGACCCACCACACACAGACACACTTGCACCCTGGCCTGGGGTGCACATGAATGGGGTGCACATGCATTGAAGTGGTTTGGGGATTGGGAGACCTACCTACCCTGTGCTACTCTGTGTTGAAGTGACTCTGGTCTGTGTCTCCCTAAGCCTGTCATCAGTGCAATGACTTTAGCCTGGAGATAGTCACCCTAGATGGTTGGGGGCATCTCCCAGGGTTCAGCCTTGGGGTCCAGAGTCCTCCCTCCCTGCCTGGCCACCCACTCCTTGCCCAGTTCCTCCACTCCTCCCACCAACTGCTGGCTGGTGGTTGGCAGCATTTGCTCCGCAGGCCTGGATACCAGCGCCTGTAAGCCGGAAACTTGTGCAGGAGCTGCCTAGCGTGGCCTGGGCTCCAGGGAGGCTGGCTTTGTGGGAGCTGGCAGGGCGGGGGAGCCAGGACAGGAGGCTGCCCCTGGGGAAGGGAGCAAGCCTGTAGAAAGGGAAGTCTGTTTGGAGGTGATGAATAGACACTGGTCATTTTAAAGGCTTGGCTGCGGGCTGTGATTATCTCTAGGTACCGAGGCTCCTAATCTTGGAGTCTTAATTATCATCAACACTTGGATTCATTTCCAGGACACTGGGAGAGAAGCCTGGCAGGCAACTCCCAGCCCTGGGCCAGAGACAGCCCTGTCTATCTCTCTGCCTCCCAGGTCCCCGCTCCCTGCCCAAAGGGTCTTCAGGGCTTGGAGCTGGGAGGAAGGGTGGAGGCTGGAGAAAGAGCTGACACCTTGGGGGGAAGATGCCCTGCGGGCAGGAGAGGGAGCTGGAGTCCCACCCTGCAGTCTGGGTGGCTTGCTCACCTGTTGATGGAAGAGACGCTGGGCACCGTGTCGTTGTCACAGATGCCCTCAGCCAGGAGCCGGTCTCGGATCTCCCAGGCGAACATGGTCGGGTTCTGTCGCTTGTACTCAGCAATCTTGTCCACCACTTTGGGCGTTGCCACTTTGGGCTTGGAGCCGCCGATCACGCCGGGCTTGATGCTGCCCGTCTCGTAGTACCTGCGCCGGGAAGGCCGGCGGGGTCAGCGAGAGGCAGCGGCGCCAGGGGGCTGCAGGCTCGGGGGCCGCTGAGCCGCTCTCCCGCCTGAGGCAGCGGCGCCGAGGGAGAAGCCCCAGCGTGGCTGAGCGGGCTTCCAGAGGGCGCTTGGCTGGGGCGAGGGACACGCCGGAGGACGAGGGGGAGGGCGAGGGGGACGCTTCCTCCGTAGAGGCGGTCACGCCGTGGGCTGCGCGCACGCCAGCCGGGATTTTCGTCCGGGAGGGAAAGCACGGACTTTCATTTGGGAAGAGCAGAAGGAACAGCGCAGCAGCGAAGCCTCCAGGCCCACCCAGGCCGAGGCACCACCTCTAACACTTTCCCACTGAGCGCAGAGCGCCTACGGGAGCCAGGATCCTCCCTCGGCCTCCCAAACACTGCTTTTTCTCCTCTTGGGGACCCGTTTACGCTCCCTACCCCATTCACCTAACCCTTAGTCCACATTTCTTGGCTAGAAGAGGCGCCCCTCCCATTGTGAGGCAGGGAATCGGGCCGCCTCCATGAGAGGGCCCTGGAGTTGGGTGACCCTGTTCCACCCTCACTCCTGCAGCCGCAGCCACCAGCTAAGCGTCCTCTCCAAAAGGAGCGGCTCTCGGGCTCCTCTCGAGCAGGGGCTCTCCCTCTCCCGCTTGGCGTCCTGGGCTTTCAGCAGAGTCCTGGGGCTGGCCGGGGAAGGAGGCAGGGCGTCGCCCGGGGCAGCTCCGAGGCCCTCACCTGCCCAGGATTTTGCTGACACAGCCGTGGCTGACACGCAGCTGCCGGGAGATGTCGCAGGGCCGCACACCCTGGTGGGCGAGCTCCACGATGCGCTGCCTCACCACGTCGGGAAGGGGCCGGCCGTTCACAAACACCCCCCCGAGCTGATTCACACCCCCGTGCCCTGCTGGGGAAAGACAAGAAAAAAAACACAACACCCCACACACAGCAGGGACCGGTCATTAGTCAGAGTCCGCGGCTAGGGCGGAAGGGCATGTTCCCGGACTCGCGGAGAGGGGTGGCCCGCGGACCACAAGGCGGAGGATTGGGGATTGGAACCGCGAGGCCGTAGAGACGCGTCAGCACACACACAGAGCCCAGGGATGGGAAAGAACGCGGCTCGTAGACCACGGCGGTGCAGAGCAGAAAGTGCAGAGGGAGTAGAGAAGCCCGGTGGAAGAAAAGAAAGAGGGGAAGGGTAGGGAGAGGAAAACAGAAAGGGGGAATTCATGCCAGCAGGGAAGAATGTAGGGAAAGCTAGGAGGGGAAAGGCCGGGCAGAGGACTGACGGCTGAGAGGGATCCCGGCCTGTGCCGCAGGAAGGGGGAGTTGTCCGTGCGTGCTAGGTCTTGGAGGCGGGCGATTTTGGGGGAATCCGGGTCTGATTGACTCTGTTCATAGGGGCCTCCTAGCACATTGACAGGCTAAGTCCTTTTGCTCCCTACCTGTTTCTTTGCATTTATTTTTAATCGGAGCTTTCCTACCTCTTTCTGTTTTTTTATTTAATCGTGTTTTTCTTCCTTTCTTTTTTTGGTTTTTAGATATTTGGGGACCATATTTTCCCCTTGCCTCTAAAGTGTCTAAAGTTCAAAGAAAACCATGTGGAGGCAGGAAGGCAGAGGAGGCAGGGGCCCCGGGTCTGCCGCGCTCAGAGACCGGGAGGCGGCGGAGCGCCAAGCGGCGCCGGCAGCAGCGGAGAGCACAGGCTCCTCCGGCTCGCCTGCTGCCGCGCGGCTCTGGAGGCGAGGCCTACCACCTCGCCCAGGTCGCCTGGTCCAGGCCGCCCGGCGGGCTGAGGGCTCAGGGGCACCCTGTGCAGCCAGTCCAAGCCAGCTCGCATCCCTCTGACAGCTTAGCTACGGCTTCCGCGCAGGCAACCGAGCACCAAGGGCGTTTGCTCTCCTAGCCAAGCCAAGAGGAAGGCTCTGGGTTTCCAACCCTGCCGCAGCCCGGGCTCCCCACCTCGGAGCCAGGTGGCCACCGGGTGCCAGGCCGGAGGGCGCTGCCCCGTGCCCGGTCCTCCCGGGCCTGCAGCAGTCTAGAAATCCTGCACCCAGAGCGATCAATCGGCAGCCACAGTTATTGAGCAATCTGAGCGCAGAGACTTCCAGCTGCCGAGCGGGCCGAAGAGGGCCGGCAACCTGCAGCCTCTGCCCTGCTAGCCTCAGGCGACTTTCGGAAAAAGCGGGGACATCTGCGCTCCCCTCATCTCCCTCTCGTCCCCTTTTGGGGGACCAAGAGCAAAAAATGGGCGAAACCCCTGGGGAGTTATCCTCTGATCGAGCAGCTGGCGGAGGAAAGAACCTCTCCTTTTACCCCCGCTTGTCTCCCTACCTACCTCTAGCCCCACTCCCCACCCTCCCCTCCCTCCAAACCCCGACCATCAATAATTTAGGCCCCGGGAGAACTCGCGTTACCGGTATGAAAAGGCGGCAGCCGCCGGCAGATTAAAGATGAATAATTCAGCCTCGCCGGGCTCCGGGCCCAGCCCTTGGGCCCCAGTCTAAGGGTGGGGACGGGAAGGAGGCACGGTGGGGGTCCAGGGTGGGCTCCTGGAGCGGGCGCTGAGTCGGGAGTGGAATGCGCCACTGCCGCGGGCGCCGACTCCGTCTGCAGCTCTCGTCTGCCAGCCCGCCAGCCCGCCGGCCGGCGCGCAGCTCTCTCCCTTCGCCGACCCCTTAGGCTTGCCTTGCTTCACTTTGGGTTTCAAAGTGGCACCCAGTGGGCGGCCGGGGCTCGGCGTAATGTCCGCAGAATCGGCAAGAGAGGAGCGCGCGAGCAGGGGCGGCCAAGCCGGGATGCAGACAGGCAGGGCGAAGACGGCTGCGGGCCCGGGTTCTCTCGCTCCGGAAAGGAGCTAGGCTTTCCGGCCCGGCTCGCGGAGACCCGCAGCGGTCCGAGGCGTCGGCGCGGGTTCCCAGTGCTTGGAGATTATTTAAGGAAATCTATTTTATCCCAGGAGTATTTTGTAAAGCTCCCCCTGTTACGCTAAATATATGCTGGTGGCGGGGGTAGGGGGGAACAACACCACAGCTCTCCCTCTTCGGCTCTGTTCCGAAGCACGGACCCAAACCAGGTCTAAAAGTTTCCCTGTGAAAAGTTACAAATTATCCTTAATTATTAATCTACTGATGGGGAGGAGCTTTCTATTTAGAATCTTATTTATCTTAAAAAAAAAAAAGCTTGCAAAAAATCTCGGCATTGTTTTCGAAGCTAAGACAAATGACATGAATTAGATAAATTCGAATTTTATTAAAATAATTCCCTCCTTGTCCTATTTCTTTTCTCCCTTTCTCCTTTCTGCAAAATCCTTTCAATTTTCATTCTTCAATTTCCTTCCCCTTCCTTTGAGTTCTCTTTCCTTTCTCCCCAGCTTTGGCATTTGCCTTCCTTTTGTTCTTTCCCCTCATTTTCTCCCTCTCTGCGATCCCCTGGCCAGGTTGCTGGCTGCATCGCCCTTGCCAGGGAGTGGGAGGCCGGCCAGAAGCCTCCAAAACTGGGGGCAGAACTGCGCTCTTCGAGGCTGGCCCAGGAAGCTGCTCTGCTTGCCCTTGCGTTGACTTCGATTTCTTTTCAGAACCCCCCTTTGTTTTTAGAGCATCTCCCAGAAAGAGGCCGGGAGAAGATGACCACCACAATGATGTCCTGCCAACTTGGACTCCCAGCTCAAGGAGAGGGGAGGAGGAAGGAGAGAGAAGAGAGGTGGGAAATAGAGGGGAAGGGAGCATTTCAAGCCAGCCGGCAAGGAGCTCGGCCTTAGCTTGGCTAGGAGGGCCGGGAGCCGCTGGGAGCTGAGGGTCAGAGAGGGGCACCCCACCCCCACACTCTGCAGCCAGTTCGTCCTAACGCTGAGGCTGCCCGCGCTGGGAGTCTCCTCCTGAACACCTACAACTGTAAGTTTGAGAAAGGTACTGAGGAGGAGAGGGAGAAGGAGGAGGCAGAGAGAGAGCGCTTAAGAGGGAGAACAGACAGAGGAAACACGACACAAAACACACCCTGAAAACTGCCTGCCAGTTAGTGCCCCAGCCCAGGGCAAGAGGGCCACCAGGGAGCGGGGCGTCGGGAATCAGGACCTGGGACTGCGGAAGACCCGGAAACCTGAGAAGGAGCAGGTGGAAGGAGGGAAGGCAGGTGCTGGGCACCAGGGAAGGTGGGAAGGCAGGCAGAGGATAAGTCTGGGTGACAGGCAGAGGGAAAGGAAGCTGGAGGCGTGAGAAACACCGGGCCGAGGGAAAAAAGAACGAAATGGGGAGCCGAGAGGAGCCAGCGTGGCCTCCGAGATGGGGCCTGAACGCGGGAAGCTGGGGCCGCCTCGGAACCGGACAAGGTTGGGACGAAGAGCCCCGAGCCAGACAGGAGCCGGGCGCCGGTACTCACGGTGCATCGCGGAGAAGGGGTCAGCTTTGCAGTGCATATCCATGGGGAGACAGAGGAGCGGGAGCAGTGCGGCCGCCGCCGCCGTGTCGCCTCGAAAACTCAACTTCAGGACTTGAGGAGAAAAGGGAGGGACGGTGGGGGGGAGGTGAGCGGGCGCCCGGCTGCGGCGAGGCGCACGGGGGCGGGGGACGCCGCGCTGCGTTCCCCGCGGGGACTCCTTCGGGCTGCCGGCGCTGGCAGCCGCCGGGGCCGCAACTTCCCACTGTCGGGGCGCGGGCTGGGCGATCAGCAGAGCGGCCCTGGGGCGGCAGACCGGGCCGGGGGGTAATGGGGGCGCATGGCTCAGCGGCGGCCGGGCTGAGGCTGGGCGAGGGCGGCGGCGCGCTCAGCGCCCCTGGAAGCCGGTCATCCGCGAGGCGGTGGTCGCAGAGGGCGCAGGGCGGGGGCAGCCGGAGGGCGCCGGACGGGAGCGGGACCGCTCCAAGTGCCGGCAAGTTGGCGAAGTTGGCAGAGAAGTAGCAATCCCCGGACTGTCCGAGCGGGCGCCGGCGGCAGGTAGGGCGCGGGCCGCCCCCGCCCCCGGAACAGGCCCGCGCACGCGGCCGCGGCCGGAGGCCGAAGGGAGGAGCGAGCAGAGCGGCGCTGGCAGCGCGGGGCTGGCCCCAGGTGGGTCGCGGCTGCGAGGAGGCTCGGCCGGAGACTGGAGCGGCGGCTCCCGATGTGTGTCTCTCTAAAAGCTGCAAAGCCCCCTCCAGACCCCCTCCTCCTCCCCTCGCCAGGAGATGGATGACTTGTCAGACAAAGGCAATAGATTCCACCACTCTGTGATTCGCCAGTGCCGGAGCCCCGAGCTTCGGCGAGGAGGGCCCCCGCGCCTGTCACTCCGGTGCCGGCGAGGGGAGGGCAGGGGAGGGGGAAGCGAGCGGGAGGGAGGGAGCGCGGGCGAAGGAAGAGGGAGGGAGGGGAGCGGGCCCGGGAGGGGGAAGGGGGAGCCCGGGATTAAAACTACACTGAGAAGCGAAACTCGCGGATAAGATAAACGTTAGATAAGGATAAAAAGCTGCCGGTCTAATGAATATTCAGGCACTGACAGAGGGCCGCGCGGCACGCAGCTCTCCGAAGCCGGCTGGCAGTCCCAACTCTCCCAGCCCTGCCATCAGCCGGCCAGTGCCCGCAAGGACCGCGCGGTCCGGCCGGTCGCATTCCTAGTCCTAACTCCCCTACCCGCAGCCCCGAGTTCCCTTCGGTTCCTTTCTGGCTTCTCCCTCCTCCCTTTCTGCTCCTACCTTTCGCCTTTCCGTCCTGAGGTATCTCTCCGCCCACGCACCCCCCCCAATTCTCATTCCGAGGCAAAGTGCCGGCAGTTTGTCCTCTCCCGTCCCACGGGCCGCGGCTGCGTCCAGGACCTCACTGGTCCCCTTGTCCACAGGGGTCTGGGCAGCCCAGAGCACTCGGTTTGGAATCGAGCTGGAGACCTCCGGGGAGGACCCACCTGCCGCGGTGGGACCCAACAGACACCTGGAGAGCCCGGAGACTTGACTCCTGGGCCCTCGGATGGCCGAGGAGGGGGCGTGGGGAGGGAGACAGTGTGGAGCGCCCGTCGCAGACTGCAGAGGACGCAGGAGACCGAGGCTCGCTCTCCCCGCCTGGGGAGAAGAGGAGGTTGCGAACGCGGCTGAGCGCCGCCCGCTGCCAGCTCCGCAATCCTGAGCGCTCCCGCCGGAGCCGCCGAGCTGCCGGCCCAGCCTCTGCGGCCCTCACCAGCAGTCGCTCCCTCGCTCGCTCGCTCGCTCGGGTCTGCTCACAAGCACCAGGCAGGAGAGGCCCTTTGTCTCCTAACTGGTTAAGTACAGAATATCCGGGAGATCTTTATGAAATATTTTCCCTCGTCTCATAAATCATCTTGGCACTTCAGCTGATGTTTTAACTCTGTCTCCCTCCTTCGCTCCCTCCCCCCGCTTCCCTAGGTCTGAGTAAAGGGCGGCTCGGCGAAGTCTGTGCTGTGTTGCGCGCTAGCCGCCGGGACGCGAAGCTACTCTAGCCCCGCCTGCAGCCCCCCGCGCACAGCGAAGCGCCGGGGACACGCGCTGCGGTCCTTTGGCCCGGGCCTGGGCGGCTGCTAGGGTCGGGGCCTCACCCGCCGGACTCAGCCAAGAAGAGACTTCTATCAGGTCGCCCGGACCCGGGTTTGGGGGGCGCTCTTACTCCTCAGGCGGGGCTCCCGCCAAGCTCAGCCGGACAAGGTTTTGGAGCCTCTCACACTACCAGAGGGCCGGGTCCGCTGGGTTCCTGGCATTTGCCCTCCGTCCTGCATCTTTCTGAGCCAACTTCCCCTGTGGGGTTACTAACTTCTGGGAGAAAAACCCCTGTCTTTCCTGCACCCTTCCTCCCAGCCCCGATCCCTACTTCCTTTGGGCTGCAGAGCCAGTTCCCTTGGGCCGGAGATTGAAAGCGCAGGGTCCGGCCGGAAGGTCAGTCTCTTCCTCTGGGGGCCTGCAGATGGCGCTCCCGGGTTTGCTTTGGCCTCCCAACCCCACGAACACGCACTAACTTCGTGTGGGGAGCAGAAAAGGAAAACGGTGCCAGGCGCCTGAAGGGACCGCTCCCAGGCCCGGCAGCAAGGGGCTCTCAGGTGGTGTTAGCTGGTAAGCCTCGGGCTTCCTTCGGGAGGTAGTTAACCCAGGACTGGGGGGACAGGGGTCATTGAGGAAGGGCCCTCACTGAGACCAAGATCAGAGCTAAAGGAGACTTTTGCCCCAGGAGTCCCCTATGTTTGGGGGGTGGGGTCAGAACTACTGGAGGAACAAGACTGTGGGCAGAACCCCCTACCCCCTTAGATACAGATTTTTCTAGAATCAGGTTTCTAGAACCAGCTAGACATATCTGTATGTCACACACGTGAGCTCAGATGATACGCATTTTTACACATTGGACAAGAGGAATTGTCACGTTTTGTAGACGGGGACTTAATGCACAAAGTATGCTGGAAGTTGTGCTCACACCCGTATCCTTCACATGCACCCCCTGAGGAGTGAAGACCACTCCATGATAGTCCAGCTCCCAGGCAGCCCCGCTGTTCCGGGGAACCTCCCCAGACGGCACTAGCTGGACACTCACCCTCCCTCTGGCCAGGACAGCCTCTGGCAGCTTCCTTCTTAGCGCCAGCCTGCTTCTTGGTCTGCAAAGTTAACTAGCAACCCTCCCTGACAATTAGATACCCCTTTTAGGAACCCGTTTTAGCCAAGGCTCTGCATTCTCCTAAGGCTCCTGAATGAAGGGCTGGCCTATAGCTTTCTCTCCAGCCGTTGGCCTCTCCCTCTGACAGTCTCTTTCCTCTTCTTCCCTTTCTTCTTCAATAGAGACTGGTAGAGGGGAAAAAAGCAAGAAAGGAAAAAAGGGAAAAAGAAAGAGGGAAAGAAAACAACCCGACCCCAAACATAGCCCCGGCTCCGACCTGTCAGGGTTGGTTGCTTTTTCCCGTCTGCCTCTAAATGAACCTTTTCTCTCTGGTGTTTTCAAAGCGGCCATTCCACTCCCCCCAACCTAGGGGCATTTACACTTCAAACAAGGCGCCCGCCTCCCTGCGGAAATTTAAAGGCAAATAAACTTTTGGGGAGTTGCTCTGATACCCATCTCGGGATTTGCTTCATTAGCTGCCTCTGTGCATCTGATCTGCCCTATAAATCTTCTTGCGGATCTCGGCTCTTTCGCTTTCTCCGCGCCCTTCCCTGCCAGGCTCGCCGGGCGCCCGGCGCCCTCGCCCTGGCCTCCTCCCTAGCGGTGGGCCGATCTGCGGCCCTCCTGACTCTCGGCCTGGGCCGCGCCTGCTCTGCGCAAGGATGTGTCCGGGAGGCGGCAGTTCGGCATGTGTACACACGGACAGGCGCCCCAAACCAAGCCAAGCGCGACTCGCAGCCGGAGCTCCCAGACAGGTTGCGATGGAAGTGCAGCGCCAGTGTAGACCCTTGTCCGCTGCCGCCGCTTCCACCCGCTCGCTTCGCGACCCTTCCGCATGTTTGGAGAGTCGCATCCCTCTGGCCCAGCGCTTTCTGCCAGCGCGAGGCAAAGCTGAGGCGTGGCTGGCTCCCCTCCTCCGGCAGGGCCCTGACTTGAAGCCCAGTCACCCGGCCCTGAGCCTTTGGGAAGGCGGCTGGGCCGCGGGGGCCTGGCGGGGGACTGCAGCCCTGCACCTCCCCGGTGGCCTGGGCCTGCCTTCCTCCTTCCACCTCCCGGGGAGCGGCAAGGGGCTCCCGGGCCTGGGCTCTGAGGGAAGGGATTAGAAATTCCGAAATTAAATGTATCTCCCCAGGAAATGCTTCCCACAGCGCAGACCAAATTAAACGCATTAAAGTTCGGGGCGGGGGGAAAGCTGTTTAGAACCAAGGGGGGAAAACTAGTCCGAAGGGAAGAGTAGCAGAAACAGAGGAGGGAGGAGAAGCGGGGAGAGCAGAGGAGCAGCTCCGCAGCCGAGCTCCTTTTCTAGATTGTTCCCAGTTTTGGAAGTTACCAACACCACTACCAAAAAAAATAAAGTTCTCCTGACGATCAAGCTCCGGGATGGACGCCGTGGCCCCCTCGCCTTCCGGGCCCTGGCGCACCCGGGCGCACACTACTCTGATCCCAGCAGCCGGGGTGGCACGCACACCCGGGCCCCCTCTAGGACTCGATCTGACCGGCTAGCGCCCGGCCCTTCCCCTCCCCCTCCCCGTTCTCTCTCCGCCCCACCCCCTTCCTAGCCCTCTGGTCACGTTGGAGGATGGTTTTTTTTTTTTTTGGAAGAGCTTCTGGTACAATATGGAGCACCATGGGCTGCAATTTCACACTCCACAGCACATTCCCCCTAAAGCTACTTTCTTTTTTTTTCATCTAAGACCCCCTAATTTCTGCCTCCTCGCTTCCTCCCTCCTGCTCTCACTCTTCTTTTCCCGCTTTTGTTCCCAATATTTGGGCTTCTTGTGTGAAGCCCGGGGGGCCTGTCTCCCCGCAGCCCCGCCCGCTCGGTCTGTTGGTCCTGTGGAGTCCCGGCGCACGTGCTGGGCCTTTATCCTTCCTCCCCTCCCCCTTTAACCCAGCTTCTCTCACAAGAGGTCCCTGCGACCTGCC